TATGGACACCATCCCGGTATTTCTGAGTCAAGGTTTCGGGGCCTGAATTTTTTATGTTACTATAGAAGGCCTAACAATCAGGTATTAAAATAGGACTATTAATGATGATAGGCTCTAGGCTAGGCCTAAAGTGTAGGCTAGCCAGCCTTTGTTGAAAGGGCACTTCAAGAAAAGGGGGGTTCATTCGAACCCAACGAACCCCCCTGGCTACGGGCTTGCACGGATTGTGCTACACTTCAGCTGGTGTGGGTCCTCAAGGTCCAGCCTGTTAGGTCAGCCACAGAGAGCATTTTAAAGCTCTCTATCTGGTATGGGTACACCATGAGAGAGAAAAAAAGAACCTCAATAGTGCAGTTAGTGAAGTGTGCTTCCCACATCATAGGAATTGACCAGACTTTAGTAGAAATGATCTATGACCTTATCATTAAGAAGGCAATGTTGATTGATGGGGAAAGAAATCATCCGGCCAACAATTGTTTACTCTGAAGCAGAGTAGTCACCAATTAGTGACAAAGAAGAGCAAATCCCTAAGGTTTTTCATTTCCTCTGTCAGCACAATAAACAAGTCAATAGTTTGATTTAAATATGTAGAGTTTGTTTTGGCTGTTCTAAGGGATTAAAGAGAATTCCACTGCATGTGCATTGTACATGTACACATGAACAAGTACAATTTATTGAGATTTAAATACAAATATTTTTTATACATACAAAACCATGTCAATGTATGTAATGATAGACTGGCATTGACGCTCAAATAGTGGGAGCTTTTCTGTAACCATTTCCTCGAGTGAGACAGGGTCAATGAGGCTGTAGATACTGGTCATTACTAGACTCATGTCAACGACCTCATACTTCATTGTAAAAAATCCACCACTGAAATCAAGTCAGAACAAGCACAAGTTATTTCAAAATAACATATTAGGATACGTTTGGAATATTTAATGCACAAACTATACCGTAAACCTTGAACGGAAGCCCTATGTTTCTTTTGTTTACCACCTTTAGATAAGATTCTTTTCGAGATGGACTTCTTTTCGTGACTACTTTTGCAAAGGAAAGAGGGGGATTCTTTTCAAACTGAATGCTGTAAATTATGGTAATTACTACTATAAAACAATAAATAAGGCAACTGTAACTTCAGTCTGTATCATGGAGTGTATTAACTGCCATTAAATCACCTAAACTACAGTACTGTATAAACCAAGCATGTTTTTATTCTGTTTCTTTGAAATTTATGTACAGTGCATTTACTGTACTATCTCCAAGAAGCCCAGGGCTTAATTCTTTTCGATGCTATTTTTGCAAACTAAAGAGGGGGCTCCAATTCAAGATGGGCTTACTCTGGAGATTAATCCCACTGAGCTTCTATTCAAGTTTTTACAGTATTGGAATCATCTATGATATAAGATAAAAGAAAACACAATATTAATGACAAAAGTACACTAGGAGATTTTTTTAAGATGCTTGGTATTACTATATCCCTTACATATTGATTTCAGTAAGAGTGCCACAAAACTTGTAGCTTACTGGTTAATACAACTATAATGGCTAAGTAATTGTCTTTGTATATACTTATCTAACAGTTTTTTTGATAAATAAAGACTAATGTTATCAAGAAATTAAGAAAATGGCAAGTGCTGTCAACACAAATTAATACCAGGGAACAGTGAAACGACATGGAATGATCTTGAACTACTAAGGCGTGCTAATCCTATTAGGTACCTATTGTTCGCTATTGTTCTTGTCTAATAGCCCTTGCTGTATCCTAGTTGTTGATCATAAACGTGCGGTACCGACAGTCAAGCGACAAGGATGAAAGTATCACCACCAACGTCAGAAAATTTCTCTTAGACTTCAAACTAGTCGTTTTCTTTAAAAACTCTTGTGTTTTTTTACAAATATACAGCAATTTAATACGCAACGACTGGTTTAAAAGTACTTTACATGTTTTAGATGCGTTTCCTGTCAAACTTCATAGTGAGATTTAACTAGCGGATGAGAGTTGTACTCACCCTGGATGAGCTAGTCTGTCGCAGGTTAGTCCTCAGCAGTTTGCTGGTAACCATTGACACAGCTGGGTGGACTGAAGCAATGTAGCTAAAATGCCTTGGCTAAGGACACAAGTGAATCTGCACAGCGGAGACTCGAAACCCGGACCTTACGATTGAAAGTATCAACCTCAACCGCTATGCCAAACTGCCGCTACCAATGAGATTTAACTAAACAAGCAATTATAAGTCATTTTTTGGTAAGTATGTGTACTGGCATTGTGCCAAATTACTTACTTTTCTAGACTATATATTATAACAAGCCACAATTGCTTGTCATTCCGGTTTCAAGTCAAGTTAAAAGATTGACATTTAACTTACAAATGCCCTAGGTCTCTTGAGCAAGCAATTGTGGCTATCAGAGATATTCGTCCATTACTGAACTGATATTTTTGTGTCGGACTCGCGCGAAATCCAGTGATCGTCGGTAAACCTGGAGAACAGACCTACCTAGGCCTAAAGCCTAGCAGCTGTTGTAATACTCGTGTTCGTATATGGATTTTTCGTTTTCATGAACAGACACAAACTTGCGTTGCGATCGTTGTGATCGCTAGGTAAGGCCTAGCTTGGATAGGGCTAGATGTAAAAATTAGATTTTGGTAGACACTGCAGCCAACAACAAAGAAATGTAATTTCAATGGTCCCTGGTTTTTAGCTTATATAAATCACCTACGGCTAAAACTGCTTTTTTTTTTTTTATCTATTTCAGGTTAAAGTCAGAAAATGAAGACCAGTGAATTTTCTAAGGAAGCTGAAAATGGGCAGAGATGAAAGAGTGAGAGGTTGACTCTATAGCTCATTGTTTTTACTCCACTGCGCTGCCTTCTTGTCTCCTTCTCAATCAAAATAAGATTAGATGTAATTTATAATAAAGTGTAATGATTTTTCAGCCCTTAAAAACTTCATCAAAACCCAGGCTGTCATATGTTTTATCATTTGCACTGCAAAGTTATGTTTTCTTGCCTGATCCAAATTAAATTACTTCTTTTCATTTTGATTTACTTTTCTTTCATTTTTTTGTTTATTTAATGCACTTGTGAAACCAGTGAAACCAATTGTGAAAGTGCTAATAATTGCTAATAATAAAAAGACAGAATTATTAATAAATATAGGCTTAACTGGTTTAGAAAATATAATTTATAATTAGATTTGTATTACAATTAGATACAATGTAATGGTAATTAGATAAAATGTACAGGTAATTTTATTTTGAAAAATCAAACAGGCAACATCCAATGAATATTGTAGAATAACGTTCATTTTATATTGTTGCTATTGTAATAAATTGTAACTCTTTTCCTCGCATTTCATTCATGTTTGGTGTTCTAAAAGAAGTGTACTGCAGGGATGGGCATAAAAATAGGACGAAGGGTCAAAGTATATTTTTGATTTAACACTGAGGGCTGCACCTAATTTTCTTTTAGAACTAGAGTACATACATGGTGTACCACAAGCATTTTTTTTTTCCTGGTAATAGTTACATCATAAATTCAATCAATAACAATAAAATAGAATACAGGAGAGGAGTACAATACTATAGAAACACAGGCATGGGAGAACCCACTTGCCCCACGCCTGGGACAAGTGTTTTTTACGGTCAGACAACAAGAATTGTAGGGACCACTTGTCCGTGGACAAGCACTTTTAGAATAGGCTCCTTCACCATGTAATGCGTAATGCTTTCACAGTACTTATAAAAAATGTAGGCCTACTCAATATAAAATTTGTTATTTTCTGCAGTAAAGATTGAAAATTAATTCTTAATAGTTAAATGTTAGCCAGATATGTTGTATGTTTACACATTAGGCCTACAGCAGACCTACATATTTTCCCACAATATCGTACCTGTAAGCCGTCAGCAGCCTGAACCTGCTGCACGTGGTCTGTTTACAATATAAATTCGCACATGGTCTAGTCTATAAATACCAGACATATACCAAGATTTTGGGTGCACAACCATTAGTTGATAAGTGTAGTTGGACGACATGAGATGTCTGGACTTCAAGACTAGTAATCACTTTTGAGTACAAATATAAACAGTCAGCCATTAGGCTAAAAAAAAATGTTCTGGTTCTGGTCACACCAAAGTTACAGAATTGATCTATTTTTTTTTTTTTTTTTTTTTTTTTTGAAAAGCATGGAAAGTACAGAAAAGGTGTTTTTAGTATCTTTTTTATGTTCTGCTCATGCTGTACATTGTTGTCCTTCCACATTCCACATCCTCGATTTCGCTTCATTTGCCAAGGGGACCCTGTCTTAATTCATCATCATTATCATATTAATGGGTACGCTTTGAAAAAATCCGACGGCCAATGATCCCACCATAGCCGTGACTTTCTTCGATCCCTGGTGCAAATGTCCTCACCACTGCTTTAGGAGGACGATGGACTTTCATCACATACTTACACCCTCAGCAAACTCGCCGAGCTATGGTATCGCACGATAAAATGCCAAAAAGGTCCCTTATATTACGGTGTATAAGCTGCACCTGCGTATAAGCCGCACCCCTAATTAGGACGCAAATATCACCATTTTTTTTGTCACCTAGCTGTGTAAAAACCGCACCTATTTTTTAAGCCCCAAACTGTTCCAATAATTTTAATTTTTTAATTATTTTGAAACACTGACATTATTTACAAATGTTACAGATGACAAACAACTGGAAATGCGTGTAAACTTCAGGCTACCGCAATGAAAAAACGTATTCCTGCTCTGGGGAAATCCCCATTTCATGCTAGACGGTTGCGCTACGTTAAAATTTCAACATCTGTTTAGTTTAATAAAATCTAAGAAAATTAAATACTTATTGAGTATATTTATCTATTTTAAACAATCATTCTATTATTATGGTGACTATTATAACAGTCGTATTAAGCTTACTATATTGGTAATTCTAGGCCTAAGTCATGACTACTCACAGCCCATTGTGCGAAGCATGCACTCATCACGCACCACGTTTTATAAACAAAAACAGAAGTGGAGAAAATATCGTGCGATACGCAAGGTTTACGCATGCGCAGATGACAAATGCCTTTCTAAAGTCAAATTCAAGTAACATAATTATTACAACTTCAAGAAAACTTGAGTTTTTATAGCATAAATTAATTTCACAAGTATTTATTCTGAAATTTTAGCGGATCATTCTCTCTATAATGTACACAATCAGAAGAACCAGTCATATTAATTATATAAATCTATGTTTTTGTTTTTTTTTTGTAAACTGAGTATGCTGCATTAAAATTGTAACATTGTTGTACCATTCAGCACGCGGTGGTTGACAAACGTTATGTAGCAGAATTACAATCAAAACAAAAAGGCATTGAACCAGTGCATTTCATGTAGTGTACAGTATTATTTCTTTTCTAAAGTTATCTACTGTACTGCTATCGAGCCATATTTACTGTACATTGATCTGAGACTAAAATATAAAGGGACTAACTAACCCAATCCATCCATCCATCCACCAATCAACATGGCTTTGTATATAAATATGTTCAGTAAAGATAATAATATTTAAAACAAATTAAATAATGACAAAAAAAAACCACACACACAGAAGCTTCTTTATACTGTAATTGAAACATAATGATCAGATTTAATTTACAACGGCATACATCTAACATATCTTTTATTTAAATTCAACACAAATAGCTTGAATCTACACAGGGCCACCAAGAGAGGAGGAAAAGATCCCCAGGGCCCTAGTTTACCAGGACCTATAAAAATTGCAGGTAGCATTTTTTCCCCATATATTTTTCAAAAATAATTACTATCATGGGCCCTCAATAATGTTATGGGGCCCCTAATAATGGGCTCCTCCAGATT